TGTGTGTCTGTGTGAGTGTGTCTGTGTCTGTGTGTGTGTGTGTGTGTGTGTGTTTAATGAGGAATGTGGCCAGTGGGGTGTTCTGTTTTCTATCAGTAAACCCGCTGTCGTAATCTTTCCCAGCTTTAATCCTGGTCTAAAGAGAAGCCGAGTGTGTGTCTCATCGCTGGCTTACACACCTCTGTTTAGCTTTCAGACTGACTGATGCTGTTGATATGAATGTGTATGTAGAGCAGATGGTCTGCCAGGATAAACCAGCACAGGTATTCTGCAGCCGTACAGTGCCACAAAAAATCTGCTCACACATTTCAATGAGCGAAGCGGCTGCATGAATAAATCAATAACAAACAAGTGAGAGCAGCTTTTATAACCAGGGAAGAGAAATAATGAGTCTTTGATTCTCCTCCCTCATGAAATTCTTTGCTGTAATTTTCCATTTATGGTCCGGTCACTATTTTCGGCATACTATTTTAATCATTATGACTCTTAGTAAATATTTTTAGTGGATCACATGGTAAACAGCTGTCTGTAGCTCTATAGACATAATGTTTGCATGCCATACATAAACTCATTCACTGAGACTCTTCAAAGAACGTTCACATGCAGCCGTGGAAAGTACAGTACGTAGTGAGTTTATGACACACTACATAAACCTTACACACACCTGGCACTCATTACATGCCATATAATAACACCGTACTGTATAACTGACCACAGTGTACCATTCATTTAAGCCAATCCAACAGAGATGCTTAAATGAATGTAACAGTGTCTCAGATTCATTAGAGGTGGAGATGAAGAACTGCAGTAAATAAAACTGCTGAATTTAACATTTGTGCCCAATAAAGGCTGTAAATAATTACAGTAGTTGATGTAAACAAATTCAAAGCAAGTGCATTTCATCCTAGATGATGCGTTTGACCCATCATGGACAAAACCAATGCACACACAATAAATTAATGAATTAAGTTTAGCATAATAAATGCATTTAAATCTATCAATAATCTAGGTGTAAACAGTGTAAAAATCAGGTAACCTAAAATATGCTTAATGTAGTAAAATCAAATGGCCACCTGGCTTTATTCAAATGTATTATTTAATATGACGGATTTATTATGCATTATGTTAGGTTACACATTCTACATATATATACAAACACACACACACACACACACACACCGGTATATATTGA